TGTGACAGCTGCCGTGTGAGCTGTGCGCCTGGAGGGCCAGGAAAAGGCACGGGAATAGAGCTGTGACACAGACAGGCTGTCCTCAGGCGGCAGTTATTTCACAAAGCTGCTCCTTGGGGTCAGGAGGAAGATGGCTGCAGCCATAGGATGCCCGGGGTCGGGAAGGACCCAGATCCCCCCAGCCCCGTGCAGTGGGCAGAGATCAGGAGCCCAAAGCCGTGAACCCACGCACTCCCAGCGCTGTGGGGCACCCACCTCCGTGCACAGAACCTCACCGCCCCGAGCACGTAAACACCCCTCCTTCCCCCTGGCTTTACCCAGCACCGAGCCGCCGCCCCTCACCCCTCCACCGCTCCAGGCCTCGGCAAGAAACCCGAACGACACCAAAACGCCGCAACGAGAACCGCCCGGAGCCGCAGCCTCCCCTCACGGGGCCGCTCCGTGGAAAAGGAAGGCGGCAAGGTTCGGTTCTTGCGGCCCGGCCCGTACCTGCGCCGAGGCCCAGCGCGCCGCCCGCCCCGTGAGCTCCGCAGCGCGCCGCCGCGACCGGAGGATGCCGGAAATGGCAGTAGGGCCGACGGCACGGCGGACCCTCCGCGGCGGTGAGGAAAGGGCAGTCGATACCGCGGAAGTAACCGGTGGACCGCAGCATCCCGCCGGCCGCGGGGCGGGGAGCGGAGACGGCGCCTCCGCCTCACACCGCCGCCATCTTGGAGGCGCAGGGCACGGCGGCGGGAAGGACCCCTGGAGACGCCGCTGCCCGCACAGAGCTGTCCGCGGCGCTGCCTGAGCCGGGAAAAAGGCGGGAACGGGGTGGGGAAAAGGGCGGGAACGGAGTGGGGAAAAGGGCGGGAACGGGGTGGGGAAAAGGGCGGGAACGGCAGCAAAATGGCGGCCGCCGTGTCACTCAGCCCTCGTGTACCTCCACGTGCAGACGGGGGTTGAGTTATGCGTGCAGAGTGAGGGATGGGAAGCTGGGAGCAGCTTGTAGAATGGAGCCTGGCGGTTGTGGATGAGCTCAGGGAGCATAACTGTAACCAACCTCAAGCATAACCATGATCCTAAACCCTAACCATAACCAACCTCAAGCATAACCGTGATCCTAAACCATAACCCCTGCCCGAAACCAAAGCTATAATAACACTAATCCTAACCCAGCCCCACAACCAGCCATAACCCTGACCTTAATGCAGTAACCCAAATCCAAGCCCCAGCCCTGATCCTAACAAAAAGTCTCATAACTGTTCTCCTAACTCTGCCCCAAACCCTAACAGCTTAACCCTAACTGTAGCCATACCCTAACCCTGACAACACCAATAACTCTAAACCCAACACCTCCCCAAACCTAACCCCTAATCCTAACTCTAACCCTGACCGAAACCAGAAACCCAATAACCCAAATCCTAACCCTAAAACACTAACCCTGACCCCCCATCTCTTCATCCTAAACCCTCCCCATAGCCCTAACGCCCCTAATCCGGACTGAACCCCCACAATTAACCACAGCCTAACAACCCTGCCCCTATCAAGAGCCCTGATATCCCTGACGTAACCCTAACCTGACTACTATAGCCCCTAAAATGAACTCCTAATCCTAAACCACAACCCTGACGGAACCCCGTATCTCTATTAATGACGCCACCTCAACAACAGCCCCCAAAAGAGCCGCCATCAGAACACGACAGCCATCCCCATCCTTCCTAAGCCACCTCCAGGGCTGCTCCATGTGTGCAGCCCACAGCCCCGCTCCCCACATCCCCCCCAAAAAAGGACAGCGTTGCCATTTTTATGCCAGAGAGAAACGTTTATTGAGTGCAACTTCAGCTCACGCTGAAGCGTGAAACGCTGAGCGACGCCGTTTCTGTGCCTCTATGATCCCCACCTCCATGGTGCTCAGCTCAGGTGAAGACGAGGGAATATAAAGTGAAGCCACACACACAGATGTGTATAAATATAAAGAATTGAGGGGAAATCCTCGTGTTTGGGTCACTGGGAGGTTCTCATGTTGCAAATCTCTGCTTGATGTTCCTGCGGTCTCAGCACAACCCCAGGAAGCAGGAATGGTGTCACCAGAGTTTGTGGCTGTGAAGAGAGGGGGAAATGGGTGGGAAATGAGAAAGAGGGGAGAAAAAGGAGAAAGAGGAAGGGGGAAAGAAAAGGGGAAATGGGAAAGGGGAAAGGAAAGGGAAAAAGAGGAAGGGGGAAAGAAAAAGGGAAATGGAAATGGAAAAATGGAAATGGAAAGGGAAAAAGGAAAAGGGAAATGGGAAAAGGAAATAGGAAGAGGGAAAAGGAAAAGGGAAAATGGAAATGGGAGTAGGGAAAGGGGGAATGGGGAAAGGGAAAAGGAGAATGGGAATGGGAAAAGGGAATAAGGAAAGGGGAAAGGAAAAGGGAAAATGGGAATGGGAAAAGGGAATAGGAAAAGGGGAAGGGAAGAAGGAAAAGAGAATAGGAAGAGAGAAAAGGAAAAGGGAAAATGGAAATGGGAAAAGGGAATAGGGAATAGGGAAAGGGAAAAGGGAAAATGGGAATGGGAAAAAGGAAGAGGAAAAGGGGAAGGGAAAGGGAAAAGAAAAATGGGAATGGGAAAAGGGAATAGGGAAAGGGGAAGGGAAGAAGGAAAAGGGAAAAGAAGGAGAAAAGGGAAATGGAAGAGGGAAAGTGGAAAAAGAAGAGGGAAAGGGAAAAGGAAAAGGGAAAACAGAAGAGGGGAAAGGGGGCGTGGGGTGGGGAAGGAAAATGGAAAAGAGAAAAGGGGGATACGGAAAGGGAAAAAGGAGAGGGAACAAAAAGAAAAGTGAAAGGGGAAAGGGAAAAAGGAAGAGGAGCGATGCTTGGAGAAAAGGTGATTTCTCAGAGCTGCCAGAACATCGTCCTGCGGGGCCAGGGATGAGCCATTCAGCACAGGGGTGCGTGTCCCATTCCCCCGCCCCGGTCCCTCCATCAAGCATCCCTGCAACCCTTTGGATGCCCCCAGCCCCCAGGGATGCTCCCGGCACCCCCAGCCCCACAGATGCCTCGTCCGGACGTATCGCTGCAGGGCCGTGGCAGCCCGTGGGCCTCCCTTCACCGTCCCAGCCTCCAGGCATCGCTCAGGCATAGGATGACAAAGGGAAGCTCACGGGAGCGAGGGGCTGCACTGCTCCGCGGATAGCGAGCGCTCCTGCAGAGGGAGGAGAGAAGTGAGCCGGGAGGGGAGCGGGGCTGTGGGGATCCCCCAAAGCGCTCTGCTTCCACGGGAGGTGAGCTCAGGGCCACCCCGCAGCCCAGGGGTTGGTTTGGGACGTGGGGGTGGGCAGTGCTGGGTTCCGAGGGGTTGGGCGTTGAGCGCTGGGTTTGCAAAGCAAAGCAGAGGGAGTGGGGCAGTGAAGGGCAGCGCGGGGGAATGCGTGCATCTGCAGCCATGTGGGTGCAGTCTGTGCAGCTGAGCTCACCTGCCTGTCCTGCACTGGGTGACTGCCTGCGTGCACACGAGTGGTGCCCCGTGCCTGCAGACCCCACAGGGCTCCCCAAAGCCACCCCCATCCCCATGCTGTGCCCCCGTCCCACCAAGGCCTCTCTCTGGGTGCAGCCATGGGCACGGGGATGCTCACGATGCTGTCCCCACCCCAGCCAGCCCTGCCAGCCCCATCGCTGCCTCACTCACCTGGTGGGGCCGAGCCAGGTGCTGCTGCGGAGCATCCTTGTTCTCTCCTTTCCCCTTCCATCTCCATCCCATCCGGCGCTGTGCTGAGCCCCTCGCCCTGCTCTCCCTCCTCTGTCCCCCTCCCCACTCCCAACCTGAGCGCTACGGGCCCCGTCCCCGCCATCCTTTTATACCATCTTTGTTCATATGACAAGCACGTGGAAAAAAAACAGAGCGGAGCTTGGAAAAAAAGCTCCTTAAGACGCTTTAATTCGGTTTCCTGGATCCCATGACTGAGCTCGGACTGTGAGCGGGGTCCCATGACCACAGCACGCAGGCCCTGGCCATCAAAGGGCTCCTTTATGCCCCAAAGACTTAAACCCCTCTTGGCTGAGACCCCCAGGCTCCCCAAGCCCAGCCTGAGCTGCATCCCCCCCCCCCACACCTGGGGATGCATCCCATTGCCCTGTTTGTGAGGATGCTGTGCACGGGACCCCTGAGGTGGGTCTGGCTCCTGCATTGTGGGGACCCCACACCTCCCTCCTCCCATCACTGTGAGCAGCATGGGGCCCAGCCCCACAGCCCACTGATGGGAGTCCACACAGCCCACACCTCCCACTTGGCTCTGGACTTTAGGGGCAGGGCTGAACTTTTTTGCTCTTCTTTTTGAACTCCAGACACCACAAACGCAGCCACAATTTGCCCTGAGGTCCCCCCTTTCTCCCCCCCCCCCTCACCCCAGGAACCCAACCCCCCCAAGGCATCCTGCCGGCGATGCGGGGCTGCTCCAAAGCACCCACAGCTCAACAGGCAGCACTAAGAGGATAAAAATACACCCGGCGCACACAACAACGCCTCTGTGTGGGGATTAGGGCGCTGCTCCAGCCCCGCTCCTCGGGGTCAGGGAATGGGGAGCAGGGCTGAGTGCCCACAGTGCTTCCAGCACACGTGAAACCGTGGCTTAACGACCACCTGTGGGTGGCACAGGGGGGTTCTGGGGGGGGGGGGGAAAGAGGGGTTTGTGGGAGCAGGGACCCCCGTGGTCCCACCTGAGCCCTAAACAAAAGGCACACGGCAGTGCTCTGAGCGTGAGGCCCAGGGCAGATTAGTGAGATTATTGCTCCTCACATGAGCCCGCAGCCCCACAGCAGGGAGGAGGGGATGGGGAAATGGCTTGGGAGCCCCACACGAGGATCTGCTGCCCCATAGGCCGGTGCAAGATGATTTTAGGGCTGTTCCCACACGCTCCTTTCCTCACCTGCTGGTGCCGCAGGGCTGGAGCTGGGGATGAGTTCAGGGCCCAGCAGACACACAGCTCAGCCGGGAGAGCAGGGGATCAGAGCCCCAGCCCCCAGCAGAAGGGCAACACGGGTAAAACTCTAAACCTCAGCTCTTTATTTGGTGCCTGGTTTCCTCACCCCGCTCTGAGGGGACGGAGAGGGAAGGAGTGTCACAGAAAGGACCTGAACACGGGGAGTGTTCCAAGAAGGCAGAGCGGGGCTGAGCAGAGGGCTGTGAGGTGGGGGGCATCTCCTCCACGCATCCTCAATCCCCCCCTATGGGGCCACAGCTCTGCCCCAGGCAGGGAGCAGCAGCAGGCATCTGCTGCAACCAGCACAGAAGGAGCTGCGCCCTCCTCCGCCACGCAGTGACACCAGGGACAGGCTCATCCTGCGGCTGCTCCCAGCCCAACTCGCCTTATTGCTACAGTAGGAGCAGCAGAGCAGCCGGGAGGAATTCAACAGTTCACTGTTTCAGAAGAGGGGATGAGGACGTGTCCGAAGCTGAAGATTCACCATCAGGAGGGGCTCCGCTCTGCTCAGCGGGGAAGGAGGAGCGAGCTGCCCTCTCCAGCCTGCCCAGCTGTGATGCCAGCAGCACCGGGTGACGCAGGGAGGCAGGAGAGCTGTGCTGCACCCCAGAGGAAACGCACTGTCCGCTCAAGGCTCCCGAGGCTGGGGCTGTAGAAACCCACCGTGCCTCCAGCAGCAGGGACTGGGAGCGCTGGGAGAGCTGGACGAACACGCGACAGCCCCCCACCCTGCCCCATCCTCCAGCTAGTTGCGTTGGCTGGCCAGCTCCTGGGAGATGAATTTCCGAAGGCGCTCGAGGTACTGGCTGTAGAGTTCAATGTCATTGTGCCCGGCCCCATCCACCCACAGCGGCTCCACAGCTTTGGGACAGCGTTCAAAGAGAGCCAGGCCGTGGGAGAAGTCGATGACTTCATCCTCGGTGCCATGGATGATGAGGACAGGAGAGGTGATTTTGGAGATCTTCTCAATGCTGCCAAGAAAGTGGAAGGGGAGAGATGACAAAAGGGGGTGAGTGCAGGGATCGAGGCAGCCCTCCTGCCCCCTAAAGCACAGCCCCCCGGGGAAAGGCAGCAGGAAATGCTCTTTGATCGCAGCCGAGCACGGGGATGTGGAGCTTCTGCCAGCGCTGAGATCGCCGCCAGAGCAACAGCTGAGGACAAGAGAGCAACGACAGCAGCCCCGTGGGACCCAGGCAGGGCCGAGGGAAACCGGCCCTGGACACTGCGACCCTGTGTGGGGATCAACCTGGCAACGAGGCCCTTCCCATCCCAGTCCCCAGGGCCCAAAGGCCAAGTGAGGCCATCGGGATGCAGTGCGTGGGCTGGCGGCTCCCGGCCGCACTGTGCAGCTCAGGGATCGTCCTGCTGGCCCGGCTGCAGGGGAGAGAGGCAAAGCAAGAGCTTGCTGCACCCCTGCCTGCAGGCACCACCTCTGCCCTCCTCAGGGTGGGTGGAAAAATGCCCCAAATACTGGTGGGAGAGACCTCAGGTGGCACCCAGGGGGGCAGGGAGGTAGCTGGTGGGAAGGAATGAAAGCACAGCATGGCTGGGAGGTGACACCACCAGGGAATGCCAGGAGCCCTCAGGAGGGGTTACAGGTCCCAGCATCCCAGCATGGGGACCACGTGTAACGCAGGAGGGTCCTGGGGGGGCAATTTAAGGCCATCACTGATTTTCCCCATAACCCCTCTGCACAGACAGGGCTGGCACCCAGGACTGACCCCAGTCCCTCCTCCTCAGGCACTCACTTGGGGAAGGCATCAAACCAGTAGGTCTTCTTGGTCTCAGGGAAGGCGACTCTCATGCCGGAGGTGAGCGGGGAGTGGAGCACGATGGCAGCGCACTCATAGCGGGACGCCAGGTCAACGGTGGGCACTGTGCCAATGCTCTGTCCATACAAAATGATGTTCTCCGGGCTGATCCCATACCTGGAGGAGGAGAGAGCAGGGCCCGAGCATCAGCAACGCTGCCATCGCCAGGAGCTGCAGCCCAGGCCTCACCCTGCGCTGCTCACAGCACGCTGCAGAGTGCAAACGGGGCTCCGTCCCCTCTGCCTTCCCTCAGCTCTTCCAGGCTGGGCACGAAGCAGCTCCTCTGCTCCCGCAGCTGCTTGCAAACACTGTAGCAATTAGCGTTAATTAAGAGTTGCGCATTGTTTTCCCAGACACGGTGCTGACCTCGGGGAATGCACGTCTAGGAGACACAGGGGCCGTCCCCACCGTGGCCTCTGGGAGCAGCCTGGGCTCCCAGAAGAGCCGTGGGGCGTCAGGGTTCAGCCTCAACGGGAGCAGGGCTATGGGGGAGGAGGGGGGGACACACAGCCCTGCAGGGCAGCACACAGCTCCTGTGTGAGCCAGGAGTGCCTGCAGGGGTAAGGAGGGGTAAGGTGTAGGGAACCTGCTTTGGCAGGGGGGTTGGACTCGATGATCTCTGGAGATCCCTTCCAACCCCTACAATTCTGTGATTCTGTGAGGCACAGGGCTGCAGCGGGTGAGATGGAACACGGTGCGTGCCGGCGGTGGGGAGCACCACACCTCCGTGACACTGAGCACCCTGAGCAAGGTCAGACCCCGTAGCATCCAGGCCCACCCCCCACAACAGCCTTCCGGCCCCCCCTTCCCATTACCAGCATCCCAGGCCCATCTCAGGGACGTTTCCTGTTTTCCAGAGCTCCGTCCTGACGGGTTCTTCCTGCAGCCCAGCCCCCCCAGCCCCACACCACAGCCACCTCCGTGCTCATCACTGCAGCACGGCAACGACAGCCGGCATCCCACCTCCCACACCCACAGGGGGGGGGACGACAGACGACCACCATCAGCACGGGAGCAGCAGCACAGCGCTCAGCCCCCATCCTGCCCAGCTCACCGCGTCCGCAGCGCCTGCCACGCCGCGTCGATGTCGGAGTAGAGGTTCCTCTCGGAGGGTTTCCCCGTGCTGGCGCCGTAACCCGAGTAATCGTAGGAGAAGATGTTGCAGTTGATGCGCGTGCCCAACCCGATGTAGAAGCTGCTCATCTGCCCCAGGTCCACTGCGTTGCCGTGGGAGAAGAGCAGCGTGTACCTGCAGCGGTGGTGCGGAGGGTTAATTTAGGGGCTGAAACCGCAGCGCGTAAAGGGACGGAGGAACGTAAAGGGACGGAGGAACGGCCTTGGGATGGTCCCAGCCCTGGAGGTGCCCTGACTTTCCTCGCCGCTGGGGGTTGCTACCAGCACAAACCAGAGGCACGATGCCTCGCTTGGAGTTTTTGAGTCTATTTTTGGTTAAAAATAAAATAAAAAAGCTCGCGATTTGGGGCCGTTCGCCCGACGGGGATTTTAAGTAATAATTCTGACAGCAGATTTTTTTTTCTCTCCTGAGTCTGGCAAGACACCAGACCTTGGGAGAGAAGTGAATTGTGGGAGTGACAAGGCACAAGAAATTTCCACCATAAGGGGAAAAACAATGTTCATCATCAAAATTAACACGAACGGCGTGCTGATGGAAGCTCAGCTCTCCTCTGCTGGGGGAGGCAGCACGGCCCACTCCTCCCTGAACCCCTCACCAGGGGGGAGACGCCTCTGATTCGGCACCTTTCAGCTCCCAACGCCTGGTGATCAGAGAGCAGAGAGGACACGCAGCGCTACAGCGGGGTGAGGGGGAACTCAGCCCCTCCATCCAGGAGCAGAAAGGGAAAACACGACGCTTTACAGCGCAAGAAACGTTCAGCAGAGCTAAAGCACGAGGACAGCAGGCTGAGGGAGCCCTGGAAAGCGGGCCCACAGCTCAGCCCCAGCAGCTGGATGCTACCGGACCACCCCACCGTGGGGATCAAGTGGTCCCTGGCAGGAAGGCAGCAGCAGGATGGAGACGGGACCTTCCTGGGCCTGTGTGTCATTCACCACTTCCGCAGGCAGATGGGGAGCAGGCCAGCAGCGGATGTGCAGGCAGAGCAATCCTGTGGCTGTTTCCTCTCTCTGGAGACACGCAGCAGGACAGGACGGGAGCAGACATCCCCACCAGGCAGCCTGGACGTGCCAGGTACACCTGCAGGCGCAGCGCTCTGCGTTGCGTGGGGCCACGCAGGGCGACGCAGGCTTTGCAAAGCCCAAACTTTGCTCTGCCCCACTCCACATCTGGGCCTCCTGCAGGCAGCGGTGGCACAGCGCCGTCACAGCACCGACAGTCTGTGCACGTGCAGCTCTGCAGCTCCATGCGTGCTGTTGACGCAGGGAGCAGCTGCTGTGCTCCCCCCAGCACCCACCCAACCCAGGGGTCTCCGGCCCACACCCCGCACTGCCCCTCGCCAGCTGTCCCAGCAGATCCCAGCAAGCTGCCACGGATTCCTGGAGGCTCCAAGCAAAGCATCTCACCCTGCTTTCCATGGGCGGACACATTCCCACAGCCCCTCAGACTCCGCATCCTCCCTTCCCAACAGAATGATTCCAAATCGAGCTCTTCCTCCCTTACAGACCTATGGTGCTTTGTGGCAAGCTGTACCTAAATCCCTTCTGGCTTCCAATCCTATTGCTCTTGTCTTTGCAAAAATCAACCTTGCCCAGTAAGTGAGAGAACCACGCAAACACAGCTTGCCTCAGGGCTGCGGGTGTTCCTGGCTGAGGTCTGCAGACCTCAGATCCCTGATCTGAATGTGTGTGTTTGGTGGCCCTGCTAGGCAGGGGGGTTGGAACTACATGATCCTTGAGGTCCCTTCCAACCCGGGTGATTCTGTGATTCTGTGACCATCCCCGTGGTCTCTGTAGGGCCAGGGGCTCGCCTGGGCTCCACAGAAGCTTTGCACAGATGCTGGGCACGCAACCGGAGTGTGACATCACCAGTGTGACATCAGAAGGGCACCTTGAGGACAGCAAGCCAGGAGGGGACGCCGAGGTCCCCATAGCCTGCGGCTGCGCCCCAACTCCCTCCCTCAACCTGTTCAGTCCCATTCCCAGTTCCAGCCACAAGCCAAACAGGTTCCAGGAGCTGAGCTCACCCGCACCTCCGAGCCCCACAGCGCGGCGCCGGGTCGGGCAGGGCAGGGAGGGGGCAGCCGGCGGGGGCCCCGCGCCCACCACTCACCTGGCTCCTGGCACACAGCGGACGTACATGCAGCCGATGCGGTTCCCTCGGCTGCTTTTGGTGATAAACACCTCGATGTTGTCCAGCTCTCGTTGGGAGTACTGGAAATCCGCCCGGTCCTTCAAATGCAGCTTCCACCTCCCCGCAGCGCCGCCTCGGAGGGATCCGGTGCTGGTGCTGCCGATGGGCTCCGGCTCGGGGACCACGGCGTAGGTGGGCTCTGGGGGGAGGAAGGCCAGCTTGGCGGCGATGCGGCTGGGGCAGGGAGGGCAGCAGAAGAGGCAGCAGAGCTGGCTGATCGACAGCCCGTTCATGACGGCGGATTCAAGGCTGCGCTGGGAGCGAGGGAGGATCTGAAGCAGCGCTGGGAGGTCCCGTCCTTATCACGGCTGCCATGGAGCAGCCTGCTGTCCCTCACGGGTCGGGGCGGCCACCATCCGTGTGCCTGCAGGCAGCCTGCAGAGAGGGGGCACACGGCATCGTGTGGGCACAACCCACGGGCAAACCCGCCACCCACCGCCATCCCAAGCTGAAGGCTGCGCCATGCCCACGCTTCTGACACCCCCATGCTCCCGTTCAGCCCCCCCCCCCAAAACCTTCCAAGCATCCCAGCCCACGCGCAGCCCTGCAGCCCGGTGAGGTGAGCACAGAGCCTGGATCACAAACAGCTGCCCCTCA